TTTTTTTTTTTTTTTTTTTTTTTTTGCTTTCCGGTCTGTCTCATGTCTCACCTTGATTTCCTCCCTCTGGCTCTCGAACTCCTGTTTCTGTTCTGCCTCTGCCTGTCGGAATTCTGCTTCCATTGCTGCCATTATCGCAAGCATTTCCTGGCCAATTTCCAAAAAGAGAAATCAGAGATTTTTTCAGAGGCACTGCTGAAAGTTGTCCTGCTCCTTTTTGGAAATATTTCGAAAATAGGTATCTTGGTGGGTAACTGCCTTAATTCCTTTCATCAGAAACATAATATAATTATTATAATATGATTAATATCATGATAGACTTTAAACTTTACAGTATTATAAATTTATAATTAATTTTGTTATGATCCTGGCCAGTTTCGAATTGCAAATGCACAATGAAATACAATGCCGTCCAATTGCAAAAAGAAATGAATGAATTTGAGAGAGGAGAGAGATAAAAGAAGAAGAAGAAGCAGAAGAAGAAGAAGAAGAAGAAGAAGAAGAAGAAGAAGAAGAAGAAGAAGCAGCGGAAGAAGAAGAAGAAGCAGAAGCAGAAGAAGAAGAAGAAGAAGAAGAAGAAGAAGAAGAAGAATATGTACACCAGCGAAGGACCAATGACAATTCCCCCTTCTCCCGCCAACCATCATCTCCTCCTCCTTATCTTCCCCTCTCTTATTCAACAACAACAACAACAACAACAACAACAACAACAACAACAACAACAACAACAACAACAACAACAACAACAGTAATAATAATAATAATAATAATAATAATAATAATAATAATAATAATAATTATAATAATGATGAATGGGCGAACCAGAATCAATGTCCAAGTCCCTCTTCCTCCTCTCTCACTTCATTCAGGCCGAGGCTATGGCAGACTACTAAGGGCCTTGCTCTGACGTGCAAAAGACGACGCAATAGCAGCTAATATGTCCTCCTCTGCTCAGGCCGCCATGCAGATGTATCGCAACTGGCTATGGTGGACGCCATCTTCATCACCTTGGTAAACTCTGCCCTCGAAGCTTCGTGATGCAGCGGTACCACAACTGGGGCCTTCCAGATGCAGCGCCATGAAGATGGCATCCACCATAGCCAGGTAAATACCTCTGGCACTCCTCTCTCTGTCCCCCTTCCTCCTCCTACCCGAGCTCGTCCACCATAGCCAAGGGGGAGGGCTGGGCGTTCCTCTTCCACACAGCGCTGCACACTAGCGCTCCTCCAGGCGCTCCAGCAGCATGACGCCCAAACTTGCATGCAGCAAATGAGGAAGAGCACAATGCTCTTTCTGCCAGTTTCTGGAGATATAGTGGCCAACCTGCCTCTTGGGCGGTGGCTTGGAGGCTGCGCGGCCTCCAAGCAACCGGTACCTCCTCCCCTTCAGAGGGCAACATCATTGCAGGTTCTGATATGGTCCCCACAGGCCCTAGACTCAGGCTACTGGGACTGGTACCCGCCTAGACCTAGGCTACCGCTACTGGGCCTCTAAAAATACTAGCTTTTTGTCTTCTTCTGCTTGGCCTACCACTACTCAAGTACTACTGGTACCAACGCTACGCTACTTCAATGTTTTCCCCCCCCGCAACCCTCAAAGTCACGGCCACAGGTGAAGTACCGGCCTCGTGGGCCTCCCAAGCACACAAGTACCTTGGCAGGTCACACACACACTCAAGCGCTCAGGCACTCAGCCAAACACACGGAAACCAGCAAACATGCTCACACACAGACTTAGAAATCTCAGCAACAAGCGAGAGAATCTCAGCAAGGCACACATTCCAGCAGCAGCTCTCAGAAATCAGCAGTTTTCTCAGTCTGGGATTTTCCGGGTCGTTACCCTTTAATATTCTAAGACTACCTTCTGAAACGGTATTCACCAATTCGTGGTAGCTGAGGCAGATCCCAGGGCTTGATCCCTAGTTCCCCAACTTACCTGTGTATAATATTTACGTCAACTCGAAGAGTTGAACCTGCGACCTGTAGAACCGCCAGTGGTAGGTAGATTGTCGTAGGGCACAGGATAGACTGGAATCGAACTGTAGACCTGTAGGG